TGCCAGACTTATATTTCCATACCGAAACAATTGATAAGAGATAATAGCAATCTTATCATCATTTTCAAACAAGATGTAACAAATTTGAAACACATTTACGATGATCATGTCAATGTGGATATGACATTTCAGAATTATTCTGAGTTGTGTTCATTCTGTTGGAAGGAGAATCATGAATTTGTTGTGATTGACAAGGATGGAGATATCGGGTAAGGTAGTTATAGAAAAGGATTCAATGAAATTTTGATAGTTTAGATTGATGTTAATCATTCGTCAGGTATCAGTATAGTTATGGAGGTCAATCTAGCAAAACAGTTGGTGAAAGCCAGACAATCTGTCAAGAAAAAATACCAAGGGCTCAAGTCAGATATTGCTCAATCAGAACTTCATTGAAAAAAACATATGAACCAATAACTGATCCCTCAAGAAAATTACTATCATCAATCAATGAAAAGGCAGTTGTTGAAGTGGAATTTGAGGATTTTGAGGGGGTCTAGCTGTGGTATTTCTTTCACAGTCAGCTGGTGTGTTCCCAGTATGTTCAATCTTTTGTGATGTACAGCGTCACACTCCATCAGTATGTGATGGGGTGTTTCTGGTTCTTCCTCACAGAATCTGCAGGTGCCGTCCTCCTGTAAGCCTAGCTTCCTTAGGTGTTCTTTGAGTCTGCAATGCCCCGTTAGAAATCCCGTTATTGCTTTGAGACTTCCTTTGCTGAGGTTTGTCAGTGTCTTAGATCTTTCTCGGTTGAAATTTCCAAGGAGATCTTTAGCTTGCCGTAGTCCTGGAAGTCTTCTCCATTGCCTGGCTCTCCAGGCTCCTTCCGCCTTCTCAAGTTCTTCTTGGAAATAGGAATTTCCAAGGCCGCAGAATGGCTCTGGTCCGATCAGTGGCGTTGAAGCCCCTTGTCGTGCCAGAGCGTCTGCGTGTTCATTCCCCTCCACTCCGATATGCCCTGGCACCCAGAGGAGGGTAACTTTATTGTTGCTGCCTAGCTCATTCAATTTGCTTAGGCATTCCCATACCATCTTCGAGTTGATGTAAGGAGAGCTCAACGCTTTGATGGCTGCTTGGCTATCGGATAAAATCGCGATGTCCTTCTTCCGGTATTTCCTGTCTAGGTTGAACTGGATGCATCTTCCTATGGCGTGTATTTCCGCTTGAAAATGCTGGGGAATTGTCTCATGGATTCGAAGTATTCGGTGCGAGGCCCAAAGACTCCTGCTCCAGTTCCCTCGGGTGTTTTAGACCCGTCCGTATACCAAGTAATGGTATTCCTTCCCAGTGATTCGATGGATTCTGTGCTCCATTTGCGCTTGTTGCTCAGCTCCACTCGGAAGTTCTTCTCAAAACTGAACTTCCTAATGATTTGGTCTGTTGGAAGATCGGCGAGGTGTGCGATCTCAGTGGGGGGTGAGCCCCATACACTGTGCGTTTTCCCTCTTAGTCCGACCTTGGCTAACCTGAGATGTGCTCCATAGGCAGTTCTCCTCACCACGATGTGTAGAGGTGTGAGATCCAAAATGACCTCTAGTGCTGCTGTTGGAGCTGATCTCATTGCTCCTGTTATGCAAAGACATGCCAGTCTTTGCACCTTCTCTAATATTTTCCTTGTAGTGGCGAGTTCGGTTCTGCCGTGCCACACTACTGCTCCGTAGGTGATCATTGGTCTCACTAGCATGGTGTACATCCATCGCAGTATTGATGGGTTACATCCCCATGTTTTGCCTGCAAGGTTCCTGCACACCATCAGTGATGATTTTGCCTTACTGGCGATCTTTTCTACGTGTCTATTCCAGAGAAGCTTTGAGTCTAGGATAAGCCCTAGATACTTCACTTCTTGCTGCCATTCTAGGTCTTCTCCGTTCAGACGGATGACTCTTAAGTGCTGAACCTTCGTTCTTCTAGTAAAAGGTACCAATGTGGTTTTCGTTGAGTTAATTCTCAACCCCACCGAATGGCACCATCTTCTGGTAGTCTCTAGCTCTCTCTCTATGAGGTCGCAGAGGGTGCCTTCAAATTTGCCTTTGGCCATGATGACTATGTCGTCCGCATATCCAAAGCAAGTTACTCCGTTCTCAGTAAGAATCCTGAGTAGTTCGTCTACCACTAGACTCCACATTAAGGGTGACAGTACCCCTCCTTGTGGACAGCCCCTGTTCGTACTGATTTGAGAGCTGCTCTCACCCACTTTCGTTTCAGCTGTTCTTGTGGTCAGCATTTGGCACATCCATCTGGATGTGGTTCTGTCCACGCCCTTGTTCATTAGAGCTCTCTTTATTGCTTCATGAGAGGTGTTGTCAAATGCCCCCTCTATGTCTAGAAATGCGGATATGGCGATTTCTTTATGCTCAAGTGATCTCTGGATGTTTTCGGTGAGCACGGAAAGGGCGGTCTCGGTTGATCTGCCCGCCCTATATGCATGCTGTCCTAGGTGCAAGGGCACCCTCTCCAGTATCTCACAGCTGATGTAGTTATCTACGATCTTCTCCAGTGTCTTCAGTAAGAAGGATGTGAGACAGATCGGTCTGAATGACTTCGGAAGGGTAGGGTCCTTCTTCCCTACTTCGGAGATGAAAGTCACACGCGCTCTCGTCCAGCTGCTCGGTATGTACCCGGACGCCAGACTGAGTTTGGCTGCCTTGATAATGAACGGCTGTAGTTCCTTATGCCCTTTTTGTAAAAGGGCTGGAAATATACCGTCGATTCCAGGAGACTTGAATGGTTGGAAAGAGTCGATTGCCCACTTCAACCTTGCCGGAGTGCAAATGGTTTTTGCAACATCCCAGTCTTCTCGTTTTACTCTGCCTGGTTTTTCCAGTGTTCTTTCGGGATCATATGGTGTACTACCTGGAAAGTGCGTCTCCAGTAAAAGGAGAGCTCGTTGCTCTTCATCTTCTGTATAGCTACCATCTGATCTTCTGAGAGACATTGGTCCTTGCTCCCTGCCCCGCGCCATGGCCTTGTACAGTCTGGCTGCAGGTGGACTTGAAGTGATTGTCTCACAAAAGTTCCTGAAGCTATTTCTCTTAGCTTTCCTTATTTCTTCGTTGTAAATCGTCAGCCTTTCGGTGTAACCCTGCCAATCTCCGTCCCGCTTGGCCTTGTTGAATAGCCGGCGGACCTCGGATCTTAGATTTGACAGGTGTTCGTTCCACCAAATGGTACCACTGTGTGATTCCTTTTCTCTAATGGGGCAGCTGGATTCATATGCATCCATGATTGCCCCATTAACTGCTTCTAATGTCTGCTCAAATTCGACGTGACTTTTGCCATTGAACTTGATTTGTTCTGAATTACATTTGAGATTGGTGGTGTATTTTTCCCAGTCTGTGTTTCTAGGATTTCTAATGAAGGTTGTTTCTGTCACAAGCCCTTCTACACTGAACATTATGATTCTGTGGTCAGAGAAGGAATGTTCGTCTGAGACCTTCCAATGTCTAACCCTTCTACTAATGCTCGGGCTGCCGAGCGTTATATCTAATACTTCTTATCTAGCCCTAGTTACAAAGGTGGGGGTAGACCCCACATTCAGTATACTTAAGTTAGCCGCAAGTATAAATTCTAGCAATTGCTCACCTCTTTGATTGGTGTCCGTACTTCCCCAGATGGTGTTATGGGCATTGGCATCGCAGCCCAGCAGGAGGGGTAGTTTGCTCCTGCTGCAGTAGTCGGATAGCCTCTGTACCTCTTCTGGTGGTGCTCGCCCATCTCCAGCGAAGTAACCTGAAGCTATTACTATGTCGAGGTGTGAGTGCCCTGTGTGGATCTTGGCCCGTACAGGCACTAAGTCCCTCGTCATAAATTCTGAAAGACAAACATAATTAATGTCATTCCTGATCAGTATGAAAGCTCTACGGTTGTCATGCCTGACATCCCAGATAACCTTACCTTCTTTATTCGGCAGTCCTTTAATCTGCCCTCTGTTGACCCAAGGTTCTTGGATCAACACAACTCCCAAGTGTGCCCCGGTGAACACCCTCGATAAGGCGGCTGATGCCCCCTTAGCGTGGTGAGTATTCACCTGGGCAAACCTGACTGATGCTGTATCAGCCATTGCTGCTAGTGTGTTGGAGTGCTTGCCTCCTCATCATCCAGCAGCATTAGCTCTTCTTCGCTGGGAATGACCGTGGTATCCTGGTCCATACTCCCAGTCGATTCGACTTCGCTGGCCACAGTAGTTTCTGTGGCAGTGGGAGCTGATGATGTCTTGCTCCCCTCTTCTACCTTCTTCTTCTCAGTCGAGTCCTTGCGAAGGCCATGAACGGGGATTTTCCCGAACCTGTAGAATATGGTGTAACCCATATTCCTGATGGCCTCGCAGGACTCGTCGTCTATTCCAAGATTAAGGAGCTGGCCGTTGCCCTCCTTCTTGCTTCCTAGTGTTTTCCACAGCTGGGTTCGGAGCCTCCTATTCTGTGTGCTCACTAGGGTGAGCAACTTCTCTGGTTCGATGTCCGTGCTCCTGGGAAAGAACACCGTGATGGTGTGCGCCCTTGGGATGTCGTCTCCCAGGCACACCATCAGCGCTGAACCTTCCCAGGTGCTCAAACTGGGGGCCTTTGCCCTCATCCAATCCGCCGTTTCTTGGTTGACGCAGTCTACCACGAGCATACTGGGGCGGAAGTGAATTCCCCGAATTGGAGTTTGCATTCCGCGCACAGTATCATCTCCTGCACGATTGCGTCCTCCAGTGCTGTAAGCTGCTCAGCACTCAGCGTCTCCTCCGGGTAGTTTTTTGGGAGGACTGCTATTTTTATTGAGCTGACTGCCTCAGCATAGCTGGTGGTTTGCCCAGTTTGCTTAGCAGTGGCGGTGCTACTTCCCGCTTCAGTTTTCCTCCTCTTCGTATTCGGACGTTGAGGGGGCGTTTGAGTTTTAGGCCCCCTCTTCTCCGTTTGTTGAGGTGGCAACTCCTGGGGTTTCTTCCTTTCGACGGCTTTCCTTCTTGCTTCCTCCGGTGTCAAGCCCTGTTCGAGGAAGCGAAGGTACCATCTTACTCCTGCTCCGCTGAGGCCCCTTCTCAGCGGATCGTCGATACCTCCGGGCTTGCCTGGAGGTGGCAGCGGCATTTGTCTCCTCTGGTTCTTCGCGAAGGATTTTCTGGAGGAGGAACCCTTGTCGGATGTTTGCTCCGCTGGTTCTCCCTCTTTCTTCTGTTTCTCCCTCTCTGTGTCTCGAGGTGAGCTCGGTGCTTGAGAGGTGCCAGGACGCGGTTGAGCGTCCTGGATTGCGGTGACATCCCGCTCTATCTTTTCTTTGTTTGTAATTTTTTCCTTCTTCATGTTGGTCCCACGAATAGCTAGGGAATTGGCAGTCGACCACGCCGGAGCCCCGCACGGCGTGGCAAGGCTGGTACTCGAGGAGGTCGCCAGGTATCCCCGAGGCTCCGTTCGAGACGGTGCTCTCCCACCGCCATGCATCCATCGGCACGGATCGCGTAACACCTTGGATTGGAGGGTTGCTCAGCGCCACCTTATTGTTTATTTGGTGGTGGCCTGCAGCGTGCCTGTGGTTGCACAGTCTGCGCTGCAGGTCGTCCGGCTATCCGTCACCTGCCAACGCTCCTGGTAGCCACCCAAGCCCCAGGTCCAAGGAGATAGATTTGGGACGAAAATGTCAACACACGTCAAGTCACGAAACTAACATCTCCCAAATCAGTAAATGGCGGCCTCAAAATGTAATCCCAATAAAGGCAGATTTCGAAAATCAAATAGTATTTTGAGGTCGCCTGCCGATCACCTCACCACCCAAGAAACACCAGCAACCCTACATAACAGAGTGACACGAGATGAAAATGGGAGGGCCAATACCACTGTCCCGAAGCCATGAACTGCTAGACCCAGCGGGAACATGATTCAACACCAAACACCGTGATAGCCTACTAATTGGCAACCAGATCCAAAAGGTTTGAGTGTGGTCAGTTGTGGGACTTTTACCCACCGGCTGGTCATTCCCCGGCAGGATTATTCTCAGGCCCCTTCCTGCAGAGCCTCTGTTCACGAGGTCTACTCATCATCTGGACTAGGCTCGAGGTCTTTCGTGTGCCAGGTACCTTTCACATTCCCGGCCGCATCCCGCAGTTCATAGGTCCAAGGTGAAATCCGTTTGTGTATCACGAAGGGTCCGACATACTAAGGAGCCAACTTCTGGTTGAAATACTTGGCTGCATCTGAGAGGACGTAGTTCTTTTTCCAAACCAACTGGATCGGGAAGTACTCAACGTGAGGACGTCTAAGATTATATTTATCGCACGCCTTTTTCCCAGCTACCACAAGGCGTTCGCGTACTTCCTGAAACATCCTCCTAAAAGACTCATTCTTACTACTGACACACTCCGATGTACCGTCCTCGATGCCTACTTCTCTACTAGACACATAGTCAGCCCCTGAGAGTTTCATGTCCCTACCGAAGTTGATGAAGAATGGCGTGAGTTTGGTTACCTCATGTTTCGATGTTCGAAGGGCACACCCGATTTTAGTGAGACTTTCATCCCAACTTCGATGGTTGTCTGACACATACATAGCCAACATGGTCTTGATGGAACGATTCACCCTTTCAGTTGGATTGGCTCGTGGGAGATAGTGAGCATTGAACCTGATTCGACACTGATAGCTTTCAACAAATTTACCAAATTCCTTACTTCGATATTGTGGCCCATTGTCACAAATTATCACCTTAGGGACGCCAAATATCAAAAATACTCCATCTTCCAACTTGCGGATGATCGCCTCCTTCGTTGCCTTTCGGAGGGGAAACAAGAGGGGAAATTTGCTAAGATAGTCCGTCACCACCAATATATACGAATTACCACGTTTCGACCTCGGTAAAGGACCCATCAGGTCCGTGGAAATCATCTCGCAGGGCCTATCAACTTTCGGATTCGAAACCATTTTATCGGTAGGAAGATCATTGGACACCTTGTAAGCCGCGCAGACAGCACAATGGCGGACATGTTTGGATATGTCAAACCTCATCTTAGGCCAATAATATTGCGTAGCCACCTTCGCCAGTGTCTTTTAGACTCCAACATGACCAGAAGTTGGAGGTTCATGGGCCGCAGTAACGATTGCTGGACGTTCACGTTTTGGAACTACTAATTTCCAAGAATCTACAGGTGGAGACAACTCTGGGTATGGAGAGGGCGAATGTATCCAAAGACGACCACTTGTCTCCCTCCAACCAGCGAACTTCAACGGATTCCTCCTGACACTTTCCAACATTCTACAATACCAGCGATCATCTTCGAACTCAAATTTAGTGTCGGAATTCCCGTCCTCCACAGCATCGATAACCGGAACGGCCCTAGACAATGTATCCGGAACAAAATGGTCCCGTCCCTTCCTATGAACAACCTTAAAATCATATTGTTGGAGCCTGACAGCCCAACGAGCCAAACGTTCAGTCAGGTCCTTAAGTGTTTGAAGCCAGAGGAGACTATAATGGTCGGTGACTACCGTGAAAGCCACACCCTCCAGGTACGGTCTAAGCTTCTCCACCGCCCATAGTACAGCTAGGCATTCGCGTTCCGTGGTCTTGAAGTTCTGTTCCTGCCGCGTGAGTGAACGGCTGATGTAGCAAATAACCCTATCGCCATCGGGATACGGCTGAGTCAGGACGGCTCCCACTCCATAACCAGAGGCATCCGTCTGCACTTCGAATGGCTTCTCATAATCTGGACAGCTCAAAATCAGTGCGGCCACCAAACACTCCTTAATCCGACGAAGGGAGTTAGCACATTCATCCGTCCAACTAAACTTGCAACCCTTACGAAGCAGGCCAGTAATTGGGGCTATGATGGAAGAAAAATCAGGGACGAAGCGCCGATACCACGAGAAAGTTCCAACAATCCGGCGGACCTCGCTGACATTTGTCGGGGTAGGAAGTTCTAGCATTGCGCTCACCTTTTCTGGGTCAACATGTAAGCCATTCCTATCCGTGACATAACCTAGATACTTCATTTCCGGGCGACAAAATTGACACTTATCGACGCTAACTGTGATGTTGGCCTCTCTCAACCTACGAAACACTTCTTCCAACACTGTCAGGTGCTGTTTCAACGTTTGGGTGACAATTACTACGTCATCTAGATATACAAATAAGTAGGGCTCAAGGTCATGACCTAACACGGTATCTATTAGCCTTTGCCACGTAGCAGGGGCATTATGCAGACCAAACGGCATCCCTCGGAACTGAAATAGCCCACGATTCGGCACGGTAAAGGCCGTATATTGTTTCGAAGTTTCTGCCATAGGTACCTGCCAATAGGCTGATTTCACATCCAGGCTGGATAGATACTTAGCATCACGGAGCTTATCCAGTGTATCAGACACAAGGGGTAGTGGATAACTATCTCGAACTGTCACAGCGTTGAGCTTCCTATAGTCCACACAAAATCTAAATGAGTCGTCCTTCTTCTTAACCAGTAGGATGGGCGAAGACCAAGGACTATTAGATGGCTCTACTATCCCTAACTCTAACATCTCCTGAAGTTCCTTGTCTATCTGATTTTGTATAACAGAGTTTACACGATAATACCGCTGCTTTATGGGGGGACTATCAGTGTGGATAACATGCTCAGCCTTCGTGGTACAACCGAGACCTCCACCCATTAACGACATATTGCGATCCAATACAGCCTGCAATCTCATTTTCTCCAAGGTCGTCAAATGAGTTTGCCCACTCACATGTTCCACAGCATTAACCAGGACGGGGTCTTTAGAGAAGTGCCATTCGTTCTGGCGAAGATTTGGGACGATTCCCATGGTCCTCCAGAAGTCAGTGCCCAGGATTAATACATGGGACAACTCAGGGACAACTATGGCCTCTATCAATTTTACACACCCTTTCACCGATACAGGGAGCTCAACCACACCTATACTGGCACAGCGATTACCATTGGCCACCGAACAAACCGTAGTCTTGCTTCGATCTAGAGGCAACCCCAACTCACGCACTACATCCATCCCTCTACCACCAAGTATCGTGCGGGACGCACCAGAGTCCAACAACCCTAATATCTGCTTTCCTAGTATGTCCACTTTCAAATGAGGTCGTTCGTCCCCGGCCGCCTGATCCAGTACATAATCTAATATAACTTGAAGTTTTTCAATCGAGTCACCACCACCGGCACACCTACCTCGATTCCTTAGGAGCGCCGGTTGCCGTTTCCCTGCCTGGAACAATCTGGACAGCTCCTAACCGTGACCCCCTCCCTCTTGCAACGATAACAGAACATACCACTGCGAACCGTACAACCAATTGCCCTATGTCCTGGCTTCTTACACCTGAAACATATTATGTCATTTGCCGGAGCCTCCTGCTGCCCACCTACTTGACTGGAAGCGACAGGAACACAATCACGAGAATTATCAACAAAAGCCTCGGCAACGTCTACATATGCTAGATCAGGTTCCAGAGTGCAAGTTCTTCTTGAGGGAGCTACGAAATTCTCCACCGACTCCTTCCTGGCTTCAAGGCGCCTACACAACTCACGTAACTGAGAAATCGATGTGATGTCGACCAGACCTAATTGGTTTTGATAGAAAGGGGCAATATTTTTCAGCAAAATCTTGAGTTTCATAGCCTCCGTCAGAGGGCATGTCAACCTATTGAAATAGCCTGTCATGACCGCAATATATATGCCAATGGACTCATCGGCCCCCTGAGTGCGCTTACGTAGTTCATCAAACAATTTTTCATTATAATCTGATGATAAGTACTCGCCCCACGTTGGGCGCCAAAAATGTAACCTTGAAATTAACCCGAGGGTCCAAGGTCTTCGGCTAGCGTTTCAGTGGAGATGGGAGGGTTCGATAAATGGGCGCCAGGTAATTCAATTACCTCCACTAACACCAAATGTGCACGTTACAGACTACCACAAATTACCAAGTGGTAGTCTATCAAATCAAAGGTTGTATGGGCCAACAAATGAAAATAAATGCAAGACAGTTCCTTAAGAATTCCCCATTTGATGAAACTCACAAAATAATAACCCTATACAGAGGGGATGCGGTCACCCTTATGACCTTCAACCATAATAAACAATCAATGGCTAAGTTAATATGAATTT